AGTTAAGTAACATAAATTTTCAAACAAAATTTTTAGAGAGGTGGATCCCCTTTTTCTCCTTAACAATTCTTAGATACTTTTCCATCTTAAATTTCTTGAGAACTTAGTTAGCAAAATCTTCTCGAGTGATAACCTTTCCAATCTAAACTTAATCTATTCCATCTGCAAAATCAGGAAGAAACTTTTTGGAAACAAAAAACCTCTATTACTTGGACTATGGAAGGGGATAGGAATAATGCTTTTTTCCATGCTTTGGTTAACAAGAATATAATTAGAAGTCATATTCACAACATGGTTGATTCCCAAGATAATGTCTATGATATGGAGGATTTAGTTGTTAACTCTGGTGTTGATTATTTTAAAGAGGTTTACAATTCTTCCAAGTTAACTATTCCTATTGCTAATGCTAATGTGATTCCTAAACTTGTGGATGAGGAAGATAATTTGTTGCTTATTCAACCTCCTATGAAAGATGAAATTTGGAACAATATTAAATATATGAATGGGGACTCTGTGGCTGGTCCTGATGGTTTTACTATCAAATTTTTTTGTTAAAACCTGGGACATTATCAAACATGATGTCATTGGTGATGTGCATGACTTTTTTAAAGGTACGCCCTACCCTAAGTTTTTCTCGTCTACTAATATTGTGATTATTCCTAAAAAAGAGAATACTACTTATTGGAACAAGTTTAGACCTATTAGTATTTATACTTTCTTTAATAAGTTGGTGGCTAAAATTAGTGCTTGTATACTTTCTTTTATTTTGCCTAAAATTATATCCATCAACCAAATTGGTTTTGTGAAAGGCAGAAGCATTTTTGATAACATTTTATTAGCTCAAGAGATGGTTCATGATCTTAATGTTAAAGTTACTGGTGGTAACATTTTGTTTAAACTCGACATTACGAAGGCTTATGATAATTTGAAGTGGGATTTTCTTTACAAAGTTTTAAAGTTGTTTGGTTTTAATGAGTCCTTTCTTATGCTCATCAAGAATATTACCAAGAACTGTTTTTTTCTATAATTATCAATGATAATAATCATGGTTTTTTTTCTTCCAAGCATGGTCTTAGATAAGGGGATCCTTTATATCATTCCCTTTTCATTATAGCGATGAAATATCTTTCCAGAGGGATTGAAAATCTTTATAGAAGGTACCCTATGCTTAACTTTTGTACTGCTGGTGGCTTTCCTTTTACTCACCTTTGCTTTGCTGATGACTTTATTATTTTCTCCAATGCTTTGATTAAAAATGTTAAAATTCTTGCTAAATTTTTATCATCTTTCCAGCTTATTAGTGGTCTTTCTATTAATAGGGAGAAGAGTAACTTTATCAATGGGTTTTCGGTGAATAGTACTAGAGTTAGTGGGATCAAAAGAGTGTGTGGTTTCAACCAGTCTTTACTTCCTATTAAGTATATTGGAACTCCTCTCTTCAAAGGTAGGAAAAAGAATTTTCTATTTCAAAAAAAAAATTCTGAATTGGTCTTCGAACTTTTTCTCTTTCGGTGGTAGATTAACTTTGATTAAAAGTGTTTTAAGCTCTATCACTATATTTTTATTTCATACTTTGAAACCTCCTTCCACTATTTGTGTGAGAATGGAAAAAATGATAAATAATTTTTTTTGGGGGGCTATTAATAACAAAGCTTGTATCAATTGGTCGTCTTGGAGAAAAGTTTGTGGTGTTTATAATGAAGGGTCTCTTGGTTGCAAATCTATTTTTGATACTGTCCATGCTTTTTCTCATAAACTTTGATTTGCTTTTAGATCGAATAACAATTTATGGGCCCAATTCATGAATGATAAATACTGTAAGGATCTTAACCCTATGGTTTGCCATTACAAAGGATCTGATTCTCTTGTTTGGAAAAGGCTTTGCAATATTAAATGTGAAGCAGATCAGTACATTCAATGGGGCATTTGTAATGGGAAGGTTTCCTTTTGGCAAGACAATTGGTTGGGTACTGATTCTATTGACAATTATCTTCATACTCATACGATTGTGAACACTAGAGTGAATGATTTCATTTATAATGGGAATTGGAACATTTCTAAACTTCGGGAGGTGGTTCTTAATGTTATTATTGAGAAAATTGTTCAAATTCCTTTACAATTATAGTTCACGGATAAAATTATGTTTAAGTTGTATTCTTCTGGTAATTTCAGTTTAAAAAAGGTTTGGGGGGAGATTAGATTCAAAGGTGATATTTCTACAAACTTTAAGTCGCTTTGGCATAACACTATTCCCTTATCATATTCCATTTTAACTTGGAGGTGTCTTAAAGGCTTTTTGTCTGTTGATAACCTTTTGTGAAAGAAAGGTTTTATTATTGCTTCTAAATATCAATGTTGTGTCAACATTGAGAGAATTCAACATGTCTTTGTGAATGATGTTATTGCATGCAAATTTTGGTCTCATTTTTTTAATATAGCTGCTATTGGTGTCTTTAATACTAACTGTGATTTGGCTAGCATTCTTAATTTGGGGTTCTCTAAAAGCAAAGGTCATATTCATAATTTACTTCCTATTGTGATTATTTGGTACCTCTGGAAAAGTAGGAATGAGTCTAAGCATATGGAAATCAAGATGAATGCAAATCAGATAATATCTAATGTGAGGAATAAAATTTTGTAATTGATTTCTATAAATTTTATTTCTATAAATTTTTTTCGAACTGCCACTTATTAGCTGATCATTTTGGGATTCATAATGATTCTGGTTATGTGGGAAATCTGGATCGAATCATGAGGTGGGTCAAACCCAGTGAGCCTTTTATCAAACTTAGCACGGACGGTTCTGTTGTTGCTATTAATGCTGGGATGGGTGGTCTTATCAGGAACCATTATGGCAATGCTATTGCCATTTTCTCTGGTCCCCTCACTTCCTGCTCTGTTTTGACGTCTGAGATGTTGGGTTTGTATCATGGTTTACAAATATGCTTGAGATTAGGTATTCAGAATGTCAACATTGAGGTTGATTCTAAACTTGTTATTCATGTGATCTATGATAACACTATTGATTTCCCTCATGATTTTTACACTATCAGAAAAATTAAAATGGCTCTCTCTATGCTCAATTTTACTATTTCCCATATCTATCGTGAAGGAAATGCGTGTGCGGATTGGCTGGCTAATTTTGGTGCTCATAGTGAGGCTTTTCTGCAGCATCATGTGCTTAATCTTCCTATGCCACTTACAGGAATGATTACACTGGACAAAAACAAGTTACCTTACATCCGCCATGCCTAACTGCTCTGTTTGTCTGTCTATTTATTTTCTTTTCTGCCTGAATTTTTCCCAGTTTATTCTGGTTGTCTGTACCTGGGTTAGTGCTGGAGGTTTGCTTCTCCTCTACGGGTTTCTGTGGGGATTTTTTGGTGGCTTTTTTCTGTTAAGCAGAAGATCAGAGTTTATATTATTCAGATGGGGTCGTTTATTGGTTTGAATCTTTATTTTTATTGTAATGTTTATAACTTTGATATTACTAGGCTGCCGAACAGTCTATTCATTTTGGATTGGAGTGTTTTGGGGTTTTGTAGGAGGATTATCCTTTTTCCTATGTCTAATATGATGAAGGATCCTAGCCAGGTTAATATTTTTGTGCATCAATTGAGGGGTTTACTGCGGGTTGCTAGTACCAAGCTGCTAAACGGTACTTATAAAATTGGGATTAAATGCTGCTTTAAATACTATCTTATTAATATTGTTTTTTGGAGTTGTTCTTGCAGGAATATGTACTTTGAATTCTGGAAGATCGATGATTGCAACATTCTCACGTTTTATAGTTTTCTGAATCTTTTGAGGTTTGCTTGTTATTTTTGCAGGAAGAATGTGCTGAACGAGATCAATCTGTTCTTCCTTTTTTGGGTGCTGTCCTCTTGCAGCCCTTGTTTTTGCTTTGATTTATTTTGTTATCGTAGAAAAAGGGACCACCGACTCTTAGGCTTTATTTTGATTTTTTTTGTAGCTCTTTTGAGCAATAGTGACCTGGAGGTTCCTTCTAAGGACTTTGCAACCTTTATTTTGATATTAACGCATAGGCCCCGTTGTGGGTTTTAACAAAAAAAAAAAAACAATATTCTCGAGTGATGACGCTGTATTATTCTTCTCAATTCTGTTGAAAAATATGAGTCTGGTGTCTATTATCGTGAAAGTTTTGATCATTTTATTTTTGAACTATTTCAATTTCATTAGATTATTTTCTATCAAAAGTTAGCCATCTACATACGAGTGTATAATAATTTATCTTCTTTGAGTTTTGATATGAAGTATATAATAATCTTTCTAGTAAGTACATGTAAATTTGGATATTACAAACTCATGGTGCTTGTTTTAACTAATAAAAAGCCTTCTTCAACTTTAAGAAACCATCTTTTTTCTCTTTCTCTTCATATCCTAAAGTTGGCATAATGTTGGTAATGTGGGGAGAAAACATTGAAGAGAAAACAAAAGAGCAAAATATCTCAAAGCACCAAGACATTGAAAATACTGTTAAATCTCAAAAATATTCATCATGTCATCTCTTCCTCACTATCTACTACAACTTGTATATAGCTAAACAAAAGGAGTTTCTAGAAGATTCTAGAAAAAACAGATATAAACTTAATTGATACAATAATCCTAAGTTATCATCTCCTCACTATCTACTGCAACTTGTATATAGCTAAACAAAAGGAGTTTCTAGAAGATTCTAGAAAAATAGATAGTATAATAATCCTAAGTTATCCTATAACTTAAAATGCATCGCATCTATATTTATTTGATAAATCTATCATCTATAACAAGTTGCCAAATAAATAACCAGTCAAATAATTTTAAAATAATGCAACAATAACAAATACCTCATCATAATGAATTTTGGATATTTGATTAAATCTTTTATCTTGTAATATCACCTTTTATTGTCTCCTTCAGAATTCATCTTAGTTTTGCATGCTCATTAGATAGTTCATCTTCTCAGGGCTGTTGGAATGCAATTCACATTGAACCTTAAATAACCATAGAAAATTATCATACTACGCTTTATTACATCTTAAATAAAAACAGGACATGAACTCTTGATAAAAGCTGCATTTACTGATTAAGATAAGTAGGGATTGATGACTGCATTGCCATCATATCAGACAATAATTCTATGAATTGCGTCATGAAATAAGATGATATTTTGCCTGACATTAACAACCTTCATTCCTCTTTGTTGATGATCTTATGAGATATTATTTTCGCCATAGTCCCTCCATTGACATAATCTCTTGGACTGTGAGACGCCAGGCCAGGTATGAAGAGTCCCGAAGCACGATACATGAGGGACACAAAGCCCTCATCAAAATCGTTTTGAAGATAGGCCAACAAGAAAGCTTTCGTTAAGTCCCCCACTGCGTTCAAGTACATGGAGAACACGAAAAATGGATGAAAATAGTTCGGGTTCGGCGATTCCTCCACCACCTGCCATTAATTCAAGATAAAGTCGATGACATGCTAATCAACATAACAATGAAAGTCTGCTTTGTAACTTCTTTAAGACAGCATAGAATGAGTAAGCTAAAAGGGGGAAGTAGAAGCTAGCAAACGCACCTTGCCCTCATACCAACTTGTGAAGTAAATGCAGGTTCCAAAGTGCTTGAACAGAGCAACGGGGGGCTTGTCAAATGGAACCCGAGGGACTATATCGTACCTGTAAACCATCCTATGATACTTGGATTTCAAAACAGCTTGCACGTTGTTTCCAAACACCGCATCTCCAACCCTCGGCTGGCCATAAGTCATCACGCCATGGATTCTGTCTATGATGTCCTGCCGCTCGTGCATGGCTAGCAGTGCTGGAAACAGAATCGCTAGAGCTCCCCCGAGGCTGTGACCAGTTATGATGATCTTGGCTCGTTTGTGCTTCTCCAGCAATTGATTCAGTTCCTCCCGAATGGCGTAGTAAGCCAGCAATTTGCCTTCGTTATGCCCCTCGTGCTCACGGGGGAAGCCTATCTCAACATCTTTCTCGTCTTGGAGCCCGAGTGCTCTCATGAAACCAAGATGAGCTTTGCCAAATTTTCCCATGGAAAGCCAGGAGAGATCGACGTCCGTAATCCAGTCGTAAGCGTTGAAGGGCTCAGTCCCGCGGAAGGCCAATACAATGACATTGGCGTCCTCCTCTTTGTCGCAGCAGATGAAGGCTTGGGTTCCTCTGTTCTTCAAGTATTCTGAAAAAGGGAAAATCTTGCACATTTAAAGTAAAATTTACTACTAGGCGCAGTGGATTGGGCCAATTAATCTAAGCAGCTTTTGGTTCACACTATTGATTATTTGATATGAGTATAGCATTATTAGGTCATGGGAAACTCTCACACAAATTGGGCTGTTTGATTTACTAAAAATGTTACAATAAAATAAATATAATAATGTATTTGGAATAATTAAAAATTATTTAATTGAGTATAAATTGAATGCAGTATATTCTTATTTCTTAGGTGTTTGATTTGAAATAAATTAAATTTAATATAAAGCCAAACAATAGCAATTGATGATACGGCAATGTGGGATAGTCATATCGGCAACAACAATTGATAGCAGCACCGATTATAAATGATGGCGATGGGCATTAGTTAAGTGGCCAAAAATATTGGTGGTTGCTTTTTTTTTTTTTTTTTCCTTTTTAACATGCTCAATCAGTCTATTGTAATTTTTGCTTTGTCCTTTGTTAGTCTTATTTGTTTCCTTCTTTTATTAATGGAATTGTATCCCTTTTGGTTAAACAAAAAAAAAAAAAGACCTTGGCCCATATAATAAACAGGTCATAACAATGGACTCAAATCGGACTTGAAAACCAATTTTAATAATATTTTTTATAACATGTTAGCTATGAATTTTAGGTAACTTAATCATAAAATAAATATATTATACTAACAAATAAAAGAATTTTAGGAAAAAAATAAACATGTCACTTTTAGATAAAAATTGAGTTTGCGAGTTACCCTAAATCCCACCCAGTTAACAAGCGAGTCAATATGTTGGATCCAAATCCAATTCGCTAATTAATTACGTCAACCCAAAATTAATTTTTTTTGAATTAGATCTAATAGATACAGTCATGTTTTGGAGAGATTATTATATGTGAAGTCCAGACATAGGACTACGTCCAGACTCTCTTGTACACATACTGAGTACATTGTGTAAATGTGTGTACACATGCTATATACAGAGTTGTACACAATGCATTCAAAAGCTCAAATCAATAAAATTTAGAATTTATCCAAAATGAACTTAATAGATGAGTTTTAGAATTCTCAAAATTTCAATCATTATTTTTTTTTTCATCCAACGAAATGCCTAAAAATTTAGAACTCCTATTTTTATAATATTATAACAACCAAATGACCCTTAATTACTATCCCCATATTTTCAATCACCCTTTAAAATTTTCACCTCACACAGCTCAGTTTGACTTGTTGGTTGAGATATTAAACTACCAATTAAGAGTTTTTAAATTTAAGTCTTTGTGTATGAGATGTGTGTATGAATTTATCTTAATTGATCTAAATATATAAAAAAAAAAAATCGCCTCAAACGTACGACTTTAATGCTCTAAAGATTATGCGACCAATTTTTTTTTTCTCCTTGGTTTGTACATACTATCAATAATTGACTGGTGGAAGGTACACTTACTGTTCCAACAATTGAAGAATCTGACAAAGTGCATCTGCAAATAAACATAAAAGAAGAAGATTAGGTTAACAAGTTAATAATAACAAGTCTTTAATGCACACTTGTTAAATAATAACATAAATTAATACCAAAGTCCTAAACAGATACTTAGCACATTCCTCACTAATCATAATTAGTACTTCCATGCGCCAACTCTTGGGCAAATTATTGCATCGGGTCACCGGAAGCGGAGATAGGTCCGGATATTAATAAAATATTATTTTAAATTAAGCGCATCAAAAGCGTAGGTAAAGCGCAGGTAAATCGCAGATCAAAGCGTAGTCAAAAGCGCAGTCAAAGCGCAACTAAAGCGCAAGTCAAAAGCGCAATAAAAAACGCAACTGATATGGCAAATTTTTATTGGATGTCCGAACTTATTTTCCACCTAGGGTGACCGGATGAATTTGCCCAACTCTTGAGGCACATGGCGCCCTATTAATGGCTGTCTGAATAAATAAAAATAATATATAATAGATTGACGAGGAAATTAGAGTCTGTCTTTACCTTCCAGTATTTATTAACTTGGTTTTTTATGAAAGCACCGTTCTCGTAGGCGAGCTTCGAAGCCATCATAGAGAGACTGAAGGGATTGACGTCCAGGCCTGGAAGTGGTTCTATTGAAGAAAAATCTGTAATAAAAATGCTCCTGAATAGCTCATATCGACCATCTATGTGACAGATGATGGATCTAAAATCGGCCGATTTTCGTCTTGGAATCACCAGAGACACTGCAACCAACAAAAGCATCTATGAGGATAAAGCTTTCAGAAATATTAGGTTTATTGAATGTCAAATCAATTGGTCGCTTGGTAGATAGCAATGGTGGCCAGCAAGGCAATAACAATAGAGATACTTGGTGGTTGCGATGATTTGATCGCTGAAATTTGACTATGGGAGCAAGCAGGCAACCTCCATTAATTTTTTCAATAAGCATGAATTGCTTTTTTTGTTTAGGGTTTAGGTTTTGTGCTTAAAAATTTGCCCTAAAAAGCAGTAAGAAAGCTGTCCCCAAACGAAGCCCCAATACCAAAATGAACTCCGGTAGCTCCGTGTGTGTTAAAGTTCATCTATGAACTTGGTTGTATCATTGCCTATTCGAGTAAAGATCTAAAATAATCCACCGATATCGATATCAACATTTTTATTCTTGGATGGCCGGCGAATATTACTCGATCGGAGCTACAGGGCCAAATCAGCTCACAAAAGTTACAATCTCTCATATCAACAATCAACCAAAAAAAAAAAAGAAGGGCATCCATAGATCGTAGCAATAAAATCAAAAATAGGTAGTGATCGATCGATAGAGCTAGACCTGTGAGGCAACCCCAAAAGATGCCGAAGAAGCCACCGTTGAGGGAGTGTAGGTTGAGGAAAAACTCGACAATGTGGCCGAGACACAGAAGCGGGAAGCTAATAACTGAAAGCAGCTTCTGAATGAGCAGAGTGAGCGCGGTTACCCAATCGATCCTGGCTTCGTCTAGCGAAGCGCTTACGCCAGACTTGTGCTCCTCGTACTTGCTCCCCCTCAGCCGCCGGTGTAGCACTAGATGGCCGGCGATGTCGCGATACCTCGCCTTATCGTGGCGAAGGATCATATGCTCATCCTTGGCCGCCATTGTTTAAGAGAGAATGAAGGAGAAACGGAGATTGAGGGACAGAGAATTTGAGAGTAGGTGCGTCGAGTATTTATGAAAGGCTTTGCAGAGTGGCACATTGTAAATACTTTACACGCCTCGGCCTCGTTAATATCGTTTTGAAAACTTTACAACATTTCTCTTTTTCCCGATTGTTAATATTTTGTTAGATAAAAAATTTATTTTTATATTTTGCAATTATTTTATAAAAAGCTGGAGTCTTCTTTTGGGAGGGCTTTTAATTTTTTTAAAAAACAATTTTTATATTAAAAAATTATTTTAAGAAATAGTAATGAAGCCGACGGCTTTTTTTCTGCTTAGCGACTTTCTAGCATAAAAAATTTAATTTATGTACTAAAAAATAATTTTAAGAAGAAATAAGAAAGCCGTACCAAACAGAATCTAAATTTATTTTAAACTAATATGTTTCAGAAATCTTTTTTTTTATTCTATTAATTGCAATAAAAAGTACAATTCATTAATTTAAATTAAAGATATTAATCAAGGAAGAATGAGAAATTTTTAAATATTTTAACGTCAAAAGAGATTTAAGCCTACTTATCAACTAAAAGTTATTGAATTTGAGGTTTAGTTATGTGATGTTACGTGTTTGCCTTATTTTGCCAAATGTCCAATAAAAGAGAAAATTAAGCCTGCAAGACGCTGAAGGCATGGTAGGCATGAAACATGTGATTCATGTGACCACTTTATTGTACGTTCTTTTCTCTTTCATCAATAATGGAAGAGTCAAGACAAAATGCACAAAGCAAACCATTAACCTTGGCAACTCATCTGCTTGTCTAGATTTTTTTACCATGGTTTTTTTGAAGGGAAAAAATTACATCTCATTGTTTGACATAATACTTATCTTCCTACTAAGTTTGGAGGACTGGGGATCCCTCACCTTATCTCCCTTTCTCACGACTTTGCATGCTCTTTCATTTGGAGATTCTTTAACACCAGCTCTTTGATTTTTGATTGGTTCAGATTTAAGTATTGCTCTCCCTGGAAACCTTTACCTACTAAATCCTCTAAATTCTGAAAAAGTATTTGTGGGGTTGCTATTATAATAAAAACGCTCATTAACTTTAATGTTACTGTTGAGAACTATAATAAAATTTCTTTCTTTTGGAATCCTTGGCTTAAAGGTAAATCCCTAGCTGATTGCCTACCTCCCTCCCCAATTTTTCACCGGATGATTTATGATTTTTGGAATAAGAATTGGTGTTTGCCGGAAATTATTCCAGCAAGGATTTAGCAGCTTATTGTTGGCATATCAATTGGGGATAACACTAATGCTATTATTTACTGGATTGACATTGTAAATCCTTGTTTTAAAGATTTTAGATTAAATTATTTTTATGGTCGGCACATTGTGAGCTGGTATAATTTCATTTGGCATAAAAATGCAGCTCTTAGATTTTCTTCTTACACTTGGCTCTTGGTTCGGGGTGGTTTAATTGGTTTAAAGATAGCTGACATTTTAGCAAGGAGAAATATTTTTATAGATGCTATTTGCCCTCTTTGTCACCAAGAAATGGGAAACAGCTCACATATGTTTTTCCAATGCGACTACCCTTTTGCCGTTATCTCTTATTTCTCCCTATATTGAACTCCTTTTTTAGGCTAATTATTTTACAATTGTTTGATTTTATTAATGAGTTGTGCATCTATGACAAAGCGGAGAAGAACTTCTATTTTTTTGTGATTTGTGAGGCTGTTTATTTTCTGTGGAGGGAGCGGAACGACAGAAAATTTTCGGGCTCGTTCTCCACTTACCATTGTGCCGGAAACTAGTTGTGGCTTTTGCTCGAAAATGGTCTCGAAGGAAAAATGCAGACATATATGCTCCATAAGTCATTCCCTTCATGTTTCTTCTGATTTACGTGGTCTGTTTTTGTTTGGCTGGACATTGATGAACGGATCTGCTTATGTGCCTTTCTCCCGTGGATGGCCAATCGGTTATGGATAACTTGTGGTTTGTCACTTGGCCTGGCAGGTTTTGTTGCACCCTGCACTCACTTGTTATCTTCTTGTTGGCAACTGATCGCGGGAGGTTTTTGTGAAAGTTGTTTTCCTTCCAGGATCGTCCAACACGAAGTTGGATCGTCCGGGGACGATCGGTACAGGTTTTGGGGACAGAGAAGTTCGTCTCATGACGAAATGAGGTTCGTCCGTACGAAATTTTTTCAGAGAGCAACTCGTCCAGGAACGATAACTATTTCGTCTGAACAAAATTCGTCTAGTGGGAAAATCGTCCCGGGATGATTTTAGATCGTCCGGGATGATCTGGTTGGATCTATATGGGATTGAGATCTTTTGAAGAGAGAGAAAATCCCAGGAGAGAGAAAACCGAAGGAAAAAGAAGAAAAAGTGATTTTTGGGCGACTTCTATTCATTTTCGTCCGTAGATGCATTTGAAAAAGTTGACCGACTCGAGATAAGGCATATTCTGCCTTTCTCAATTTTCAGAAACGAGAATTTTGATGACTTTTCTGTTTCGGATTGTGTCTCCGTTAGCGAATAATTGTTTGTACTGATGAACTTTTTACCACGTAAGTTTTGGTATGTTTATGAGATGATATTTGTGCACGTTTTGAGTATTTTCTGAAAGATTTTTACCAGGTATTTTGAATTCCAAGGGGTTTTGATCGAATAATAATTTATCTGGATGTTGAAAAATATTATTTCAGTACAATAAAAGTCTTAGAATGATGTTGTGTACTATCTGTGGTAATTTGGTAAATTTATGAATCTTTGAATTCTGTGTAAATTCTGTATACTGCTGTTATGCCACTGACGAACTCTTATTTTCTAAATTGAATGAATTGATATGTGCATGCTATCAGAAGGGAGTTATAAGGGGCCAGAATCCTTTGAGATTCTATTTTTGTCAGGGCAATCTGAGAAATCTGAAAACAAGTTATGTTCTGAAAATTCTGTATATCTGTTCTATTCTAGTGCTATATGGACAAAGGGAGACATAAGGGGCCAGAATCCGTTGAGATTCTGTCAGTGTCAGGGAAGGGAGGCATCATGGGCCAGAATCCGTTGAGATTCTGTCAGTGTCAGAGAAGGGAGGCATAAGGGGCCAGAATCCGTTGAGATTCTGTCTAGGTCAGGGATATCTGATATCTGAATCTGATATGTGATACGTGAAATGTGATATCTGAAATGTGATTTTATCTGATTTGAATTCTGGTTTGTACAATCCGATCTGTTTTGTTATTTGAAAGTTTTATAAGAACTGTTCTGCACTTTGATTTGTGCACTCTGATTTGAATTCATGTATCTGTGATTTGATTTTTATTTGATCAAGTATATGTTTTGTCTGTTATACGATTTATGTACGGCTAATTGAATAACTACTTCTGATGTATTTTCTGGTGTGAATTTATAGAGATTTCGATGGGCGATTGTAGTCTTGCTGAGCTGTTAGCTCATCCTTGTTTTCTACGTGGTTTTCAGGTTCTGGAAAAGGGAAGGAAGTCTTGAACTAGCAGTTCTGTGTCTGATCAGTGATTAGGTATTTTGTACTTTTGATTTTTATACAGTCATGACTTTTCTGTTCTATTCTTTCTGTCTGTAACCATGTACTGTATTGTACATGATTATTTTGATGAAAAGAAGAAAATGATAGAAGAATTTATGTGTATATTGGAAGTTAATAGCACCTCTGTATTTCTGTTTGTTTGAATATTTGGAAGAAAGTTCTGAAGCAAATTCTAAAACTAGATCCTGGATTTTCAACATTTGTCGCGGCCCGACGTGAAGGGATTCATTCCGGTCGGGTTGGGTCGTGACATTTTTTGACGACCCTGATGGCTTGAGACATCTGACTTTTACTACTCTGAAGTAATTTATGTCCTTGGGTGGATTCCGCTTTTCCTGAGTCCCGTATTTTTTGGAAGCCTTATGTGTGGTTCTTTGGCTTCTTTCCTTTTTGGGTCTGTTGTTTATTTCTTAGCCGATTTTTCAGGCTATTTTTTTTGCAAGTCATTAATTTTGGTATATCTTAATATACGGGCTTTCCCCCAAATTTTCCCAAAAAAGAGTTTTAACTTCCAATTAAGAGCTTTTGAGTTTGAATCTTGCTTGACCTTGTTGCGGGTATAATATACGTGGCGATAGAGTTAGAACTTTTCGTCTACACACTGTATGGATATCCAACCACAAATAGATAAAAAAGAAAAATCAAAATTTTTATGTGAAAAGCCTTGGAAAAGTGAAAAACTACAGGGCCACACCTAGTAGAAATGATTTCACAAGTGTTTGAATTGATTACAGGTGATTGATTCGTCCTTGTAATTGAGGACGATCATATTACAATAATCAATTGTTAGGTTGAAATCTAGTGACGAACAAAGATTAGACGGAAATTAGACGATATTTGATGGTCGGGCAGAGATTCAGCGTCAATTAGGTTAGGATGGAAGTCCGACGACGGCTGGTGGCTAAGCGGAAGTTTGATGTCAGTTGGTGGCCGGGGCATAAGTCCGACAGTGATCGAGGAGGAGTCTGGTGACAAGATAACTATAGTTTCTCTCTCTTCATTCTCTTCATTTTCTTTCTTTTCTTCTTTGCATGGGTCTCCTTTCATAAGAAATGAGTGATCTACTTATAGTTTTATGAGAGTTATATGCCTAGTAAATAGGAGGGAGATCAAGGGTAAGTTTGAAGTGGTTTGAATGGATGACCAATATTGATTCTCTTGATCGTAGACCATTTACTAGGCATTTGAATGTCTTAATATGATATCAAAATTTGACTATCTTGGGCTTGTTGGATTCATCTCATTGAGCTGCTCAATTCGACCATAAGCATGTCACTTTTGGGAATCATTTGATCTTCCACCGTATGGTTTGGACTTTTCAAATGTACTTCGGATCTTTAATTTGTATTTTCGAGATGTTCAGTTTAACTAGAAGTTTGATGAAATTGTAGTTCATATGGTCCAAGATTTAATTTGGAAGTTTTCAACTAAATTTTTCCTTGAAATTCGTGCCCGATCAAGATACTCATGTAAAAATAATAA